CAGGACCAGACTTCAAAGAGAAACTGCTGAGTTTCAGTTTATTTGTAAATTTGACACCATCAGCTCAGGATTAAACAAGTGAATGGCTAGCCAACTACAAAAGCAGTTTCTTCTCCCTTGGTGTTCACACCTCAGCTGCTAGAAGAGGGCCTCATCCTCCCTGATTGAACTAACGTCGTTATCTCTAGACTGATTCTTGCCTACATATTTATACCTGCCTCTGGAAATTTCCACTACATGCATCTGATGAAGTGGGTATTCACCCACGAAAGCTTATGCTCCAATATGTCTGTTAGTCTATAAGGTACCACAGGACGCTTTGTCGCTTTTTAGTGCTCCCTGACTGTCCTTCTGCATGGCCTTCCAGTGGCACTGCATGAATGTCAGACATCCCAGGCTCTGCAGATCTGGGTTGTAGTCCCTGGGTTCTTACATTCTGTAGTTTCCAAACACGTCTCCCTTTCCCCCAGGGAGTGACTGGAGCCTACTTCTCTGCTGCCCCATCAGTTATCAGCTCCCAGACTTTGTAGAAGCCCCATCTGTTCCCTGACAGGTGGGCTTCTTTGTAATCAAGGCTCTCCACTCAGCCTCAGTCTTCCTCATTTGCTGCCTAATTGGGTGATTGGGCCCACCTGGCCTAATTTAGGCCTATCAGGACTAGTGTGGGGAGTACATCCCATCACAGAATGGTTTCTGTGAGTCCCAGTATTCCTTCAGTAAGAATATTGTGGCCCGATATAATAGGTCTGCTTGTGTTCCCTTGTCTGTGTATCTTGGGAAGTATGTAGAAGGTCCCTGGGGTGGGCTCATGGGGGAGGAGGTAGTAGAGTTTCTCCTGGAATTGTTTGGGGAAGGATTTGGTGATAACCTTAAATTCCTGGGTAAATTGTGGTGTGGGGTCTTCTTTGAGTTCTTTATAGTAGGTGGTGTTGGAGACTTGTTGGTTGGCCTCATTTATGCCATCATCGTGGTTGAGGACTATAATGGCGCCCCCTTTGTTTGCTGGTTTGATCGCTGTCCGATGGCTGGATTTCAGGGACTGTATAGCTGTCCTCCTGGGGGTGGTTTTATTTTTTCAGCAGGAGAGAGCTCAGCAAAGAGCAGCTACACTGTATATCTTACAGCAGCAAGGCTTTAGCAGCACAGCTGTGCCACTGTAAGCTGCGCAGTGTAGACATAGCCTGACTTTCTTAAGCACCTTTCCCAAACCTCAGGCAGGGCTCTGTGTAGCTCGAAAGCTTGTCTCCGTAGCAGCAGAAATTGGTCCAATAAAAGATATTATCTCGCTCACCTTGTAACCCTATAGAGCTTTCATTTTAAAAAGATGGTGTTTCTGTGCTTTGAAAACTGTGACATTCTGCTACAACAGAAGTTCTGAGTGCAAAGAAAAGGAAATTATTAAAGTAGCCGTGCCCATGGGTACTCATCCGAAAAAGTGACTCCAAAATGGTGTCTGTAGTTCCACAATTCAAGATGCTTTAAAACAAAACAAACCCCCCTTTGCTGAAATGCCCTTGCACTACTTCAATCAGGTTCAGTCTCAGAACTGTTGGAAATGTGTTTGTTGTCATATTCAGAAAGTGTTGCTTAGTTTTATGTATGTGCCTCACTATCAAAAGGATGGTACTTTAGGATTCCCTCAAAGTTAGCCCATAAAAGGTCTTTAGCATCACAACTGTGAAAACTAGCTTGTGTAAAACACTTCTGCATTTTGGCCCCAATTCAGCAGAGAACTTAAGCATCTTCTACCATTTTTATTTAGGTGTCTAAGTCCCAAGTTAAGCGTATGCTTAAGTGCTTTACTTATCTGGGGCTCTAACCCATCAGATTCTGTACACTTTCTATATAGTGGAGCTTTAAGTAATTTTTAAACAGTGCAGTGAACAAATGACCCATTATTTGTGAGTAACTGGCCACAGTTGTCTTCACAACTTCCTATTTCTATGCTCAATGGTACACACACAAAGTAGGTGATAGTTCCAAATCATCTAAATGTTTGTTTAAAAATAAAACCAGCCCCCATGATCCTCAACTATGGCTCAGTTTAACCTCCAGCCTTGCCTGTGAGGCTTTTAATGTTCCACAGTTCTAATTACAAGAGTATGTATATTTGAAAAGCTCATCACTCCATGCTGAGCTCTTTATGGGGGAGAAGGATGTTAAGTGTTCTGTTATGCTAGTAGCCACTCAGATACTACAACGATGACAAGTGCCAGACACTTCTATAAATAAATAAATGCATCTTTCATTTTGCTTATTTGAAACTCTTCTCTCTTGTTTTCCTGGCCGCAGAATAAGTAGATTTAAATAAAGTAAAGTCTGTGACTAAAAGTAATTTAGCTTGTGGCTTTTGGGATTTTTTTGTTTTCGATTTTGTTTTTTGGGGAGAAGGAAGGGTAAAATCATTTTCAGTTTTTCTATGGGGGAATTCTTAGTTGCTTTCAAATTGTTTTTTGTCTTCTTTTGTATGATTCTTGAAAAATCACGTATAGTTCCCCCCCCCTCCTCCCCCCCCAAAAAAAGTTTCTTATTTGCTGACTTTGTCCTTCAGAGTGTACTGTTTTGTATCTGCTAAGGGCAAGTTCTTAGTGATGTCGTATAACTTTTGTTCAGTGGGTTTCCTTTTAATGCAAGAATGAAATGCATTGCTTACTCCTTGTTGAAATATTTGATTTCCTCGGGTAGTAGGTTGGGTGGCCTATATGTTTACTGTAAAACCTGTGGCAAAGTCCTATTTTTCTCAGCTGGGAATTATTAGAGTCTTTGCTGGTGACCTCTATTCTGGTTTGCCGTTACATAAGTTCTTGTTACACCAACACAGTGTGCATTTGATCTTCCCATGATGGTTTGTTAATGCAAGATTTACAAATTCAGATGCACAGAACAGAATATTCCACAATAAATGACAGCAAAATTCTATATGCATAAATTATGTGACAAATAAATTAGTGAACCAAGCTGAGTTTTGTTTAGAATGAAACACACAGAATATGGTTTAAATTTGGGGCTAGCTATAGAACAGTGAGTTCAAACACTGCGTTTTGAACTGTAAAGACCTGCCTTCATATCCAGCTTGGATCCCAATGAAATGAGTTTGTGATCTTGGTCTAGTCGAGAGAGGACATAAAATCACTGCATAACTTGACTTGTCTGTGAGCACATGCATAAGTTCTATTGCTTACTGTGGGTCTCTTAATGTGCTGTCTCGGTTCTCTCTCTAGATATAGAAAGCTATATCTCAGCATTGCTTTGTTGGTTTTGGTAAATTATCATATGTATGAATATAAAAACTAGCTTTCCAATACCAATGGCAAAGTGAGACTGTTTTAAAGGGAGGTGAGCATTTTGGGTTATGAATTTTAGATGATATAATGGAGCTGTTACACGCTGTTGATTCTGTTAAAATGAGGCACTTTCATTTACTCTATTACAAAGTTGTTTGCATAATAACCACCATGTAGACTTTTCCATTGATCTAACTGTACCTAGTGTGACAGACCCAGACCAGTGGGGTACAGGAGTCTGGTAGAGGGCAAATATACTGGTCACTGGATGAGTAATTTTCTGTTCCCTGAGTGACCAGAGCAGGGGCTGCACTAGAGTAATCAAGAACCTGCTAGAACCAGTTAAGGTAGGCAGGCTAATTAGGACACCTGGGGCCAATTAAGAAGAAGCTGCTAGAATCAATTAAGGCAGGCTAATCAGGGCACCTGGGTTTTAAAAAGGAGCTCACTTCAGTTTGTGGGGTGTGTGTGAGGAGCTGGGAGCAAGAGGTGCAAGGAGCTGAGAGTGAGAGGGTGTGCTGCTGGAGGACT